CATTCCTTCAGATGCCAGATATGACAATGCGCAAAGCTCTTAAACGACGGCTCATCAAAGCCTGAGGAATCACAGCTGGAAGTATTGCGCAGCAAAACGTAAACAAACGTTGCAGGTTACATGTGTGGATAACAGTCACAATGTATTCCGTCTAATCAGGAGTACGAACCCGTGGAAGGTAAGCGTAATTGAGGTAATTAAGGAGTCTTGTAGCACTTCGATTAATGTTCAGGAACACTTTCGTGAGCGATGGGCAGAACACTCAAGGAAATAGTTCAGCTAGTCGTCATGGACGAGATACACTTCAACTCCGGCTTCGTCTACACAGTCACTGCGAGTTGATGACGATTTCCTCGTAAATGCAGGTTACACGGGAAATAAGTTATCTTGAAAGGTATAGGGCCTCAGGCCTGGATGCGTTGTCCGCATCAGCTTTTGAGCACGGTGTGCTTAAACCTTGATCGTGGGGTTGACTAATTTCTTGTGTTCAGTATGGTTCCGACTGAATGGTTTGAATGTGTCATCCAGCGGATGAACAAGTAAAGCAACAGATTATCTTGTAAAAACCAGAAAGGAATTAGTTTGATCAATATCGCAAACATTGTACTTCGTCGATTGTCTGCCAAATGTGCAAAAGGAACATGTGATAAGCAAGCTGGTGTTTGCGTGTACCGGAGAAGCTTGTTTCAGTATTGCGATCCCTTGATACTAAACCTCGGGCTGTTTTTCACACGAGTTCATCATGGAAAGCCGTGTGAGGTGGCGGTCATTCAGTTCAAGCCGCTATCGTTGACGTGCTTCGGCGTAAGACTCGGGGCTTGAACCCCACCACACATTTTCACTCAGTTAACGTCCAAGCTGAATGCTTAGACTGCTTTCGCCAGAATTCACCCAATGATCATTAGGGCCTATCGAATTGTTCAAATTTCATATACCACAAGAAATTATGAGCTATCCATGAAACGCTTTACATATAATTCGTGTTAAGACAGTGCAGTATTGCGCTTACCATTGATTAGACTGATTGCATCCGCTCATGTTCATACTGGTTCTTCTTCTAAAGAGCTTGCCTCCGTCGCTATCGACTCCCAGGTTATATAGGTTAGTTCAGTGATGGATTTCCAAATTTGGGTTTTAGACATCAGAATACATGGTATACAAAGTTGTTTTTTTTCCTTGTCTCACAGGATGACCAAACTGAGGAGTTTAATAAACCAGCAAAGACGGTTCGATCAATCAATAATCCCATGGTCCCTAACTCCCCCTCGCCAACATTCAAAATTCGAGGCAATGTTCTCACTAGTGAAGATGAAACTATTCCTGTTAAGTCCACCCCAGATCCCTTGGCTTCACAGTCGACCAATGAACTTGTTGCACCCCCAGCAGCAGACACAGAGTTCGTTCGGGATTCCAAACAGATTGACCGAACCGAGCATTTAAAAGCTCAGTTACGTGAATTCGAGGAAGTTTGTCGTGCATTTGAAGATCTGGACGCCTCTGTGCCTGCGAGTGTGATTGAAACCAACGAACCCCAATCGACCTCAGTGTCCTATGAGTTTTCATCGTCTGACCTCACGAAATTCGCGAGATCGAAATCGCGTGAGAAGCGTACCAAGGTTCGTCATTTTGCTTCAAATTATCCTTCCGATTTAATTTTGATATCCTGTTTCCAAATCTTTTTGCATCGGACCGTTCTCCAGTGGTTGTTGTTTTCAACGATGTATCATTTCTCAAACTGGGAAAATAATTCGGGTCTACGGATATAAGCGAAGCTCAAGACTTTGGATGGGACTACTCTCGAATCCTCCATCGGATTAAATCCAAAAATGTCCTGAGATTGCATTATCAAAGGTATAGCAAGGGCTCACATCTAATAGCTACGAATTGTTACAAAAAATCCATTCTCAGTCTGATAGAATGAACTTGTCGACTAATCGATTCAGACTGTGGAGTACAATAACAGACACGTAAAATGAGAGGATTACGTACTCCATGACTGTTAAGAGAGCAGGATGCATGATAGGCGCATAGTTCGGTGTGAATAGACGTGCAGGGACAACTAGGATGGCATTTGTCATTGATGTGGCATCTACAAACGGCCAAGGGCAGAATGAAGCGTTGTGTCCGTGGAAGTGAAGGCATAAAGTGTTTTTTGGATGGAACGTTTTTGAATTTTCTCACTTACTACGAAACATTCACACCCCGCTCGCTTTGTCTTCCGATTTGTAAGATTTTCTGTTTGCAAGTTGTTTCTTACCCTCCCAAACCCCCTGTAGATTAATAGTTTTGAACAGATACCACCACAAGTATCGCGATTGCTCCATCTCCATTACTTGGCCTAAAGCCCATGGGTGATCTACTTTCAGACAAGGTAGTCATATTCTTCCTTCCTTACTTGACCAGATTTGGTGACCATTCCACTCGTGTGCGGGTCCATTCATTGATTAATGGGTTAGTTTCTTCTTTTGGTTATCTCGTTTTAGATCCTAGTTAATGGTAGATGGTTAATACATCAGTTCAATCAATACGGCCTTATGGATGGTTGTACTAGCTCAAGCTTTTAATCGTCTTTATTCCAGGTAGTTGATCCGGCACATGTAGGCCTCAAGGCTAAAGTCACAGGACTAATATAATTCAAAGACGTTTACAAACAAAGTTCGATCAGCCCTTTGGAACGGTTTTGAAGTAGGCGGAAGTTTGCGCACCTGATTTCCTTCATAGATATATTTAATGAGTCCCACATTCGGTGGCAAAACAATTCCACGGGTCAATGTGATCCAGTTGTTCAACACGAAGTTGCGTTTGCACACTTCCTCAATAAGTATTGATCTGGATACATGGATCAACATTTAGTAAAATCACCCCACTTCACAACCGCTCTCTTTTTCTTCGTAACCAGCAACGTCGAGTCTCACCCAAAATGTTCCCCTTCGATGCACCTGACACCCTCCCACACATAAACCCTGGAGTTGGTTATCTGAAACAAAAAATGAAATCGAAGCATGAAGTGGAATCGAATAATCCGTAGAAAAAGAAATTGCCGCCTTAGTTAACTTGGCATTAGTTTTTTATGACACTGTGTGATGAAAAGTAGACGAGTTGGAACCTATCGTCACGAAGACCTACTGTTCATCGATGGGATTCGGTAACCTAAGCCTCGGGACTTGGAGTGGCGAACCCGGTAGGTCAGGCATGACATGGAACCCGACGACAGCTCAACTGTCTACCGCCAAATTTCGGTTTCCGCGACAGGTTTCGAACCTGGGACCATAGGGTCCAATGCACGCCGATGAAAGAGATTAAACAAGTACGCCACCACCACCTCAGTAGTGTTGGTAAACCCACCTCGTAAGGAGTTCAACGCTTGAACGCTGGGATCGCGTGATCATATTAATTTCATGTGACACTATTTCTTTTTACATAGTACTATTCTGTTCATATTCGTTTACGAATACCCGCGTCCACATTGGTTTCGGGCATATATTTATAATCATCCACTCAAAGTTATTATCTCTATTCGGCTAAAACATGTAGACGGGGATGTTTTCGGTTAATTTTCTTTTCAGATTCCGTCTACAAATCCGACCGTTGGGAGCAAAGCACTTCCGGGCTTGATACGAAAGTGGCAGCAACTGCAAGAGAGTCTATGAATGTGTCTTCTTTCACAGTTTTCTTTGTATATACATTGATCGTTTGACAGAGTAACTCACTCTCTCCTATCTTGTTCACATGTTTTCTTTTATCTTTTTTTAGAAGGATGCTGATTGGTCGATGTGTTCTGTCGATGTTTGGGGTTAAAATTACGATGGCTAGTAAACTCACTTCCATCGGTCATCCGACTGAGAAGTGGTCATATCCGTTAGTAGCTTGATATATATCCATCAAATACGATAATTGCTTCGAAGATATCCGTGCTGGAATACAGAACGACGATTGGCGTCCTCAGCGCGAAGAGGCCAGGTCTCGTGACTGTAAAGCAAAACACTGCGAATCGCATCGCAGTACATTCTTCCATTAGTGGAAAATCAAATGTCATGGCTGTGCCACAGACGTCGCACATTGGCAAAAACCACTCCAGCTTGTACCGTTCCAGAAGTGATTTCTCCCCCAGCAATAACTCCAGCTATGCCTAAGCTTCCGAGGTACTAAAGCTTTCGACTGTCTCTGATCCCCACAAAGGATGGGCACAGGCACTCGTACAAGCACTTTGCATTGAATGATGCAAAGCACACCATATCTGACTACCTCGGTTGCCAAGCCCTTCATAGAAAACTAGATTGTCTGTATGTTATCACATACCAAGGAGAAAGCGGTATATCAAGAACCGTCGTATCTGGAAGGAGTTCAACTCCATCGTTTACTAGACCGTACGAAGCATTTCATAGAAAACCCCCTGTGACAAAGTTAAAAAGGAATGGGATATA